AATGTTAGAAGAATATTAGTTTTCGAAAAAATCCAAAATATTTATATATTTTCTGGGATGTGGATGATAAGAAATAAACCGAATCTACTCTCAAGAAATTTCAACAAACAGTGTTTTGTTTATGTTCGTTTCCTCTGCATTCTGTTTAAAGGAATGCAGATATACATATATAATATTATTAGAACTTACAAGGCTTACTTATATTATCGCATGGGAGATTGTTTACTGCAATATTCTCTTATGTAAGACTTTTGATAGAAGATAAATCCATTAGGGATTTTCAGTTTTAGAAGAAAAGTATCTTGAAACAGAAGCAATATCATACTTACGCTCTGGTCGAGAGCTGGGCGTATACCATATCTTCAGTTGTTTTTGTCCGTGATATCGGGGATATGAAGTGAGCGTTCGACCAAAACAGTGTGTTTTTAAGTAATGTGGAAATTTTTAGTGATAAACGATTCATTTTAGAAGTATTTACAAGTTATTTTTAAAGATAAATGACCAATCAAGCGCTTTAATATTGAAAGTATTGATGGTTTTACACCCACTAAAAGAGATGGAAAAAATGTATTAAAAACTCAATGTAAACAAGATCGAAGTGGAGAAATGTTAGAAACACTTCGTAGGATAGGAATTATGAATAATAATTTATTTCAATTTTCTCGTTTTCACACTGTGTACCCAAATACAACAACGTTAGCAAATTCATGTAAGAACTTCGGAAGATGTAGAGGATCCAGTTAATCTGAGTTAATAACTTTAAACCATTTATCGTAGTTAAATAGTATAAATTATTTAATTTTATATCACATGAGCTCTCAAAGGCAAAAGGATAACTCATTAATTATTTATTGTGTTATACAATTTTTGATTTTCAATGAGTTCTGTATTTCAAATGACATGTTTTTGTGGACAGCTTCATAGTGATTATTCTCGAAGACTGGAAGTTACCCTGAGCAGGATTCTTTCTTTTTTTCCTAACGTTAAGTTCAGAAAATGGACAAATGATGCGGAAGAATGTATAAGTAGGTGGGACTTTAACATTTAATAACACCGTATTTGAATAACAGATGGTTCGCTGCGATCTTAACTTTCGGATTCAAAAAGTGAAACAGAACGATTAGTGGTACGATGAAAACATTTAAGTTTTGAAATAATATCATACTTAAACTTATCACAGTTATTAATAATTTTAGCTTACATTCATTTTAATTTAAATATTAGTCTTCAATGATTGCCATTACGCAAGCGATATTTTAGGCTGGTGGTTTCATGTCAACGAAATGTATCATCCTCTCCTAATTTTTTTTCATACGTATAGATGAGTTACGGCTGTCTCACCCATCCAGTATTAATAAAAGAGATCTTTAACGAAATATTATTTAGTGGAGACTTGTCTAATAGCATTTTATATTTAAATATTTGAAGAATTTATTTTAAAAAAACGCATATAAATACTTATGTCAAATGCAACCCGCAACACACTTGCAGAACTGTTGCAATCTCTGTAGTAATATAGTTCCATAACTAATAATTATATTGTCATAAACATTGGAAATTTGAAACCAAAGTCCTATAATAAACATTCCTCCCATCGTAATCTTTATGATGAGATCTTCTTTGCCATTCTAATTCATTTTTGGTGGTTCGGCGCTTCTCGATACTTCATTGCATTTCAATTTCAAACACTGCAAAGAGTAGGGTTATTCTCGCCCGATCTTCTATATTCGCATAGAAAACTTCACGTAGCTTTATCAAGAATAGAAATATTTTCTAAAATTTTTGTATCTATCAAGGAAAGCAAATAGCAAACTGTCAAGGAATATTGTATGATTACTTCAACTGTTGTTTATCAGGAAGTGTTGTAAATTGTTTCAAGAATATGTGTCTATAATACTGAATAAACCTTTATGGAAAATTAAATTTGATATTGAAATAAAATTCGTTTCAAATATCGGGTAGGGCGAGAGTTCTCGCTCGTTTACGATAGTTTGTTTAAACATGAAACAGTCGCATGTGTATTGATAGCTAGGCGGAGTTCTGCTGCTGTTTGGCGGATACTTCAATCAGCCGACAGCTTTGATCGGCAGTTTGCTGTGGTTTCTCCCATCAAATCCAAGCGAATGATGGAGCAGCATCTTACAAACGTGCCGCATACTAGGCGCGATCTTTCCTTCCCATTCCTTGTATCACAATACCTTTCTTACACACACTTACATTTAGATGCACTACACTACCACACATCTCGGGAGACTAGAGAGGAGCTTAGAGCTTTTTTCCGACTGGGGCGGGTCCCGGTTGATGGTTGATACCTGGATGAGGGAAAACCCGCAAGCCGATATGTAAGTCAGCGCCGAATCTGACCAACCAGCGGGGGAATATCTCCGGTACCTCTCGTGATACAGCATTCACTACACTTACGGGACTAATTACATTAGCTTTTGTGCGCTTGGAAACCGAAATAATCAATAAATCGAGCGTCAATAACACTAAGTGCCTTCGGCAAGAAATGCTTCTCAGACTTACCTTATATTGGCGTTATCAAAAAACGTTGGTATTAACTTTATAATATACATCACATTTACCTGATTGCAGCGTGAGCAATCTGCACGGTATGATGCACTATCGAAGACTCTTTACTTTCAACGTGTAATTAGAGTTCATAATAGAGCGCCTGCTCCAGTGTCGAGCTACTCACATAATGAGTTTTTGCACCTACGCAATATTGAAATATATTGTGATCAAGAATAGAGAATACTATATATTCTCAGATATATACCACTTCACAATCATACACATTCTTTACAAATATCAAAATATTTAGAGTTATCAATAACATTTTCTCTGTGATAAGATTGCCATTTTTCTCATAAAGAGAAATTTTCAACATAGAATTTCGAGTAATCAAGTCTTTATACGTGAAATATGTTTCATATTCCAGCAAAGGGTAAACAATTGTTGCGAGTTTGTCAGGAAATTGGATTATCGATATTCATTTACAATCAGGTTGTTTTCTGTTTTTATCCTTTATAAACAACACACAATGGGGTTATTATTCTTAAGAATGTAATAATAAACTACTAGGATCTGTACCTAGTTAAATATGTATGAAATTTTATATTGCTACAACAAAACTATTATTTCTTAATAGCATAGGTATGATCGACGGCAAAATCCTTTAACAGATATGTGAAAATTTGGTAGTTTCGATTAAGAAGTTAAAAAATGCTTCTAGATATATTACTAATGATAGATTCTGGTCAATCAAATAGTTACTTCCTGGACGAAATCGTTGTTTGCCAATTTATCTTGTCCATGTTCAGAACAGAAAATTAATAGTACTTTAAACGCATTTCAATATTTAGGGTACGAAATGCACGTGCACAAGGAACAATCTTGCTTTGTTCCATCTCATAATAGTAAAGTGTGTATACATAATCAGCCGCCTTCCTTAAAGATTGATAGCTACAAATAATCTCTTTTTTTATATATACAATGTTACAGTACTAGCATGGAATATATTCCTTTAACAATTTCATAGGGGTAAAAAAATATCAGAGTTGTTTGACGGGAAAAAGCATTGAATATCAATATTTCATACCCGAAGAAAGAAGAAACCTTTTTGTGCGTCAAGGGCGAAGCAGTATCGCATCAACTCAGAGTCGAACACATCAACTACTACTACAGTAAAGGGAAAACAACTACAAATATTTTCTCTTCCCCATCCTTATTACACTCTCTATTTCTCTTCATTCTTGCCATTTATTTCTCTGCCTCAAACCTTCCGACTTTTTTGTTGTTCTCTTTATAGATTGTTTCGACATATGTATCTTGTTTTATAACTTAATTTGTCACGGTGGCTACTTTAGTTTAATCTGGGCGTTGTGTATGATGTAAACACAACTTCACATGCTTAAAGTAAATGAACTAATTATAAAATATTTAAGTCGTGTCTCGTCATTAAGTAAAAAAATCCACATTATTACATACAGTTTAATATTTCAGTTCAATGCACAAAATGTGGCCAAGTTGGTTTTGTATGAGGCATGGAAGAGCGTTGTTTGCCTCCGCTGCGAGCGAGGGCACGAGGCCGCCGCAGGCCGTGCGGCAGCTGGCACAGGCTGGCGAGCGCTGCGGCCCTGATAGCGCCGCCCGCGCCCCACTTCGCCGCTTTCCCCACTCGCTTCTCATCGCGCGTTCTCTTTCTCTACTCTCTTCCCTCCACTTCCCCGTGCACCGACTCTCACAGCCTTCTCGCTACCCCTTCACTGCCATTTCACCAACCACTTGCGACCCTCCCGGCGACTTCTCACTAGCTTCTCGTCGTGCCTTCGGCGACCTCTTCTTGCCCTCTTGGCTCCTCACCGCCCTCCTCAGCGCCTCTCTGCCCCTTCACCACCCTCTCGCCGCCTTCTCTCCGCCCTACATTCCGCCGGCCTCTCTCTTTCTCTCACAGTCCTTTGCCACTCCCGCATCTTCCTTTTCTTATTTGCTTGTAGTCCGTTTTCGCTATCTGTCCTCCCATCGTTTCGCTATCCAACCCACGCCTACCATTCCCTCTTGCCATCCCCCTCGCTGCCATTGAGGTATGTCCCTTGCGCCGTGTCTGTGGCGTC